ATATATCCCCCTCCTTTTCTCCTGTCTCTCCTCCACCTTGTGTCTGCCTGCATGTTACAAACACAAGTGAATACCCTTTATACATCAGGACTGAGAGTAAAATTAACCTTTTCCTTTTTATCGAAGAAAGGTGGATCTGAAAATAAGAGACTGATATTTTGCCTCCAAAAGGAGAGACTTCAAAGATTTTCATTGTTTCTTCTGCATAATCACTGTTTTAAATGCTTGTTTTAATTTCTTGCTCTATCTTGTGACTGATTAATAAACTTTCAACTTTAGAATGAATGCTTCTGGGTGTTTGCGAAGAAATTGAGTAAACCAAGGCCTCTGTAGAACATGCCCTCCACACTCCCCAAACCTTTATAACACTGTTTAATGTTAGACAGTGAAAGAATTTATAACACAGTTAGCTCTTCTGACCTTTGAGATCAATATAACAGTGCTTATGAACAGTTTATACATTTAGAGCCATGCTTGGATTCCTCTGACAGTGTACAACTTCAGAAAGAGCAATTTCTAATCAGACTGTAATTGGAGGGACAGTATGCTTTGTCTAAAAAGAAATGATTTATTCAACAGACTTGAAACTAAAATTAATAGTTTTGTCAATGTACAAGCAATAGCAAACTAATTTCCAACTACACTCTCATACAAGTGAAGGTAATAAGCAGTGAGGCTCAACAGGTAGTTAACATGACACAAAAATCATAAACCCTCCTGAGGGATTAAAAAGAGAAGTAGCCCAGCAAAGTACTTATTCCCCAGAGGTATGATTATCTCACACAAACACAGTCCTGCAGTTGCCTTATTGCTATTGTGAAATGTCTTTCATGTGAATTAATTATTTAAATAAATGACTTTGATCACTGAAAGCTGCTACTTTGAGATAGAATAATTCCACTCAGTGATTGATATATTGGTCTTACCCCATTTAGAATTATGGTATGCCCTAAATCTAAATTCTTTTATCACTCAAATTGTCAAGGATTATATGCCGTTCATGTTACATTTTGCAACAAACCTATAACACACAGTCTATGCTGCTTAAAATGTTAGCAGGTCAAACTAAAGTGAAAACAGACACCATCATTATGGAGCTGAAATTTTGTCAAATATATTCTAAGTACTCAGATACCCTGGTGATGAGCGCACAATACAGCTACACTATGTCTGTGCACCACATCATAGCTGACTACAAGAACATGTTACCACTATTCATTCTTCTCTTTTCTAGCCATTGCTCTTTGTTATTCAAACAGACCCACAATGCATTAAATACCTCCAATTATTATTATAATAAAACAATTGTAATAGCTTTTATCACAATCATTTATAAAATAAATTATTCAATTAACTGAATATCCAGTTGTCCATATATTAGATTACCCTAAAAATAAAGATAACAAGCCCAACCTTCTAGACACTGCAGTTCCAATCACCTCAGTGATCTCAACACCTTCAAGAAAAGGGGAGGAGACTTGTCAGGATTTTGTTCTGACTTTCTAAGAAGCCAAGGTAGCAACTTTCCCTTGATGCATGTCCATAACTCCTTATCCTGGATGTTACACGTGCACCCAAGGAACACTATGGCTCTTCTAGTTTATGGAGCTGGAAATGGTCTTCAAAAGAGCTGGCACATCTCAAATGTAGTATTAATTGTTGTTTATTTAACATTTTTATGTAGCGCCACAGGACATAAAAATGCCATTGTTTGGAAGTATCTGAACTTGTTTACTCCACATCTATTCATTTAATTACAAAGAATATAGATGTGTTCATTGGCTGCTAAACACTCAATTTTTCTAATATGCTACCTACTGTAAATAGCTTTTAACGCTAATTAGTCAAACTTTAACACCAACCCATTCACAATAATGGAGTACAAAAAGTTATAGGACAGAAGAAAAAAAGCAGCATTAAAGACTACTTAATAAGCCAGATAGTACAAAGAGTTTGATTAATTAAATATGTTACTGTACGTGTAAATTCCTTAATTTATTTGCTAAAAATCTCTGTCCATGATGGGAGTGTTGGTAAAGGCTGAATTCTAATAGTTCTTGATGGCTGCTTTTAGCATAGTACTTCCTGTTTCTCTTGTTCTTTATGTGGTTTTCAAAATAACTTTATCAGAAAACTAGTGCATGTCAAAGACGGTTTATTTTGCTCTGCAATATGCTGACAGTTCTGTCTAAATGTCCAGGAAGTTTAGAATACGTCTGCATTCTGGATTATGCTTGAACACAGAATTTACTAGTATAGGAGAAGTATGACCCTCCAAGCTATAATCACCCCAGAAAGCCCCCAGAAGTCAATGGCAAGTGAAAATGCTTGTTGTCTTGTCATATTGAGCCCTACATAGTGAGGCGGTGGAACTCGATGGTTACACTGATTTGCTGTTTTAGTGAACTAACACCTAAAAAAAGGTAAATATCTAAAAACTTGCTGCTGGTGATTTTTCTCTTCCAGCTCAGGAGATATATAGTAATTTTAGCTGCAAAGATTTTCAAGGTAAACCAACTATCTTCTTAATTACTGAGTTTTCTTTCTTTCTTTTTTTCTTTTTTTTAAGACAGAGCTTGAATATGCAGGTTTGTGTACATAAAATAATTTGCCAAGAAGCATACAACTTTTTCATGCTGTCCAGTGAAATGCATCAGTTAAATAAATGTAAAATGCTGTAGCACGTTGGAAATAGCTAACAATTGACTGCTCACAAATACACGTTAATTTTAAGATCAGTAGAGAAGTAATTAGAGAACTAAGTAGAGAACTAAGTAAGTAGAGAACTAATTAGTTTATGAAATCACTGGTACCAAATAAGTGAAACCTAACTGAGAGGGGGAGTGGTTTTTTGCTCCCTCTATTTAAATCTCTGTTTTGGTTTGTTTTTTGTTTAAAATCTACTTAACTCAACAGCCTAACTAACACAAAAAAAAAAAAAAACACACACACACACCTTTGCCACTTAAATCAAAGAAACTTCCTAGTCCACTTCTGTAGGTCCTCTGAGGCGATCTCCCACCAAAACATGAGACACAAAACTTGATATTCCTTACATTTCTAAGGTTACAAAGTAACCCTTGCATGCTTTATACATCAAAAAGTAACAAAAAAAGGGGAAATATCCAGAGGATTGTTTTTCCTTTGTAGGTCCCTTATGATTTTAATAGGTTGGTGATCTCTAAATATATCTGGACACAGACAGTAACAGCATACTTCATGCTGCTCAAAATAATATAAACACAAAGAAAAATAATTAATAAACAATTCCCCCAATTTTCAGACAGCTCTACTGACTACAGTATAACATTCCTTTAACCAGAACATAGTTTCTGATATTAGGTGGAAACTATATTAAGTTTCCTTACAGGTCTGATTATGCAATGGTGTATGCTGGATTCTCATTAACCTTCCAATTTGTCACCTGGGCAGCAGTTTATTTCATTTTACAGATAACAGTATTAACTACCAAAAAAAAATACAGCAGATGTACACTTTTTTACGTAGTGATTAAATTATAGAAGTTATAACAATGTAACTGAAATTATAGCAGTTGCAGACTTGTATGCAGATGTTCTAATTGGGCTGAATGGGGATGATCCTTCTAATTTTCAAAGCTGAGCATGTTTAGACTAGTCCACAATTGGCTGGTGACCACATAGGAATAGCCTTTGTTTTATGCTGCTTGTTTCTTTATAAATGCTGATCTTAACTGTGTGTGTGTGCGCACGCATGCACGTCTGTGCAAGAGCAGAGGGTGAGGGCTCCGGCTGGGGGTGTGGGCCAGGGATGAGGGGTTTGGGGTGCAGGAGGGTGCTCTGGAGCTACGGTGGGGAGAGAGGACTACCTGCAGCTCTCTCTCCCCGCAGCAGCTTCTGGCCTGGGGGAGAGAGGTGTCCCTCCCTTGGCCATGGCAGGTCCAGGCCAGGGGAGGGACGTCCCAGCCACGGCAGGTATGGGAGTGGGTTCAGGCTGAGGGAGGGGCTCCTTGGCTGTGGCAGGTCCCAGCTGGGCGGGTTCCCTGAGTGCTTGCGGGGCAGCGTATCAGCTGCTGCGCGGCCGTGCAGCTTACAGGGAACTTGTGTGTGTGTGTAAAAATATTTTTAGATACATTACCGAGAGAAATTCTCAGTTGGTGTAAATTAGTGTAGCTTAATTGATTTCTGTGGAAGTGTGCTAGTTTACAGTAGCTGAGAAAGTATATGTTCGTAGCCTAGAGGTAGTTGACTTGCAGTTTGAGATCTGGATTTGATTCGTGCTTCCATTAGCTCACTCCCTGGCACTTCAATGATACACCAGGTAGTAGAGTTATACTATCATGCTTTGTGGTCATGTCAGATTTCAAACAGTAAGCAAGATTGATCAGTACTTGGAGGAGAGACGTCAAGAATAGAGATGTTCATAGAACATGCTCATCTGTTATGCATTAGGTGGCTGCTTTTATTTTCTCTGTTTTGGCAAGTCTCTTCCAGTTCAGGTTGCACTTCTTTCATATCTTTAAAAAGAACGAGGAGTACTTGTGGCACCTTAGAGACTAACAAATTTATGAGTCTCTAAGGTGCCACAAATACTCCTCGTTCTTTTTGCTGATACAGATTAACACGGCTACCACTCTGAAACCTGTCCACATCTTTACTCATTCTTTCTTTTTTTGAAAAAGGGAAATTATATTTAAAGTTCACTGTAAAGTATCATTCAGGTTAAGATTGCACTACTGCGGACAATTGCTATGCACCAGAACTCTACAAGTGTGCATCACAGGAAATGTAGTTACTTACATGCAATAATAACAAACTCTACACAGGTGCAAATTCCTTGTGCTATTTACTCTGTAGTATTTCTCCAGTAATGGGGGAGAGCATGTATTGTGCAGTAGAAGACGAAGGGGGAAGAAGTAAAGTTACTCTGTGGACCATAGCTTTGAAATTCTTGACTAGGCAAAGGATTTTTCCATGGTGCACTGCATTTCAGGCATTTATTTTACCCATTTTGCCTTCTAGGATGATCCCGGCCATTAGCAAATCCTTCTTCCTGACAGATCTGGTTGCAGGACGTGAGTATGACCTTTGTGTTCTCGCTGTTTATGATGATGGATTGACATCTCTAACTGCAACCAAGGTGATTGGGTGTGTGCAGTTCACTACACAGGAAGAATATAAGCAGTGCCGCTCTCTTCATGCCCAGTTTCTTGGAGGAACCATGATCATCATTATTGGTGGAATAATTGTGGCTTCTGTTCTTGTTTTCATCTTCATTCTCCTCATGAAGTATAAAGTCTACAACAATCACCACAAAAATAAAAATACTAAAGTTAATAATGTCTGCTCTCAGACCAATGGTAGTCAGAGTGGGTCAATGGCTCGTTCTGCTTCCAAACTCACAGAGAGACGGGAAAGTTTGCATCAGGAATGCTCAGGAACTTCCATCAAAGGCAAAACTGTTGTAGATTTGGATTGTGAAAGAGTGACTCTTACTGACACAACCTTTTTAACAACTGAAGCATTATCTCAATAGCAATGTGACAAAGCAGGACACACCACATGAGCCAAGGTGGTATCGCTTAAAACATTTTAATGCGAGTGGTTGTATTTTAAGCTTCACTACTATTGTCTATTTTTAAGATCAGATGGTTTAAAAAATATTTTTTTAATCTGTAAAACAGTTCCTGCATTCTTAAATATTTTTGTTTCAATATATTAAATATAAAGTGTGTGATTTACAAGATTTTTTTTTACTGTTTCTTTTATAGCTACACCTGTGGTATTGAATCAGAAGCATAACTATATTATGACTAGGTTTGTCTTTAGTAAAAATGCACTATTAATTCATTCAGTTACCAACTGGCAGCAAGACCAACTCTCAGGAACCTCAAACTTCTCTGATAGTAGAGTCATTTACCAGTTCAACTACCGAGCTGTTAATGAGCAATGAAATGTTATAAAGAGTTCTCAGCTTGTTAATCCTGAGACGTTCATCAGTCTGTGTGCACTGTATACATGTCATCCACAAAAGAAAAAGCTAAAGGTTCCTCCGTGGACAAAATACTACTCCAAATAAGGAAAAGAAAATTGAAGGATTTTGACATCATCTCGCACTATTCATTGGTACGGAATTGCTGGCATATATTGTTTGCTTTGTAAAGGCTGGTATTATTCAAGACTGTGCCTTGAAGACCCTTCTCTTTCTTTTCAGTTAGATTTACCTCACCTTAGACAGGGAGGAGCTCCCACTTTTGTCCTTCCTAATTTAAGTCTTCAGAAAACTACTTAAATTAGAAATGGTGTGTTGTGCACATCTTTTGCTACACTGGAAACTGTGTCCTAGTCTCCCACTCTCAAATTGTGTCAAGTGTCAACCAAGTTAATCTCTCTCTTTTTGGTATGTTTTTAGAGGGAGGACCCACGAGTTAAAGCTCCACTGCATCTTCAGATAACATTGATAACCAAACTCTTTATTTCTGTAGTACTGCATGAAGCGTAATGTAATTGGCCAAAGGATTAGCTATGTAAATGTTTATGTGCAATTCATTTTAACAATTCATATTTAATAATTAAATCTTTTTGTTTAAAGGCGTACTGTCAGGTCAAAATGAGTCCCCAAATTAGGTGTTTGTAATGACTTCCAACAAAACCTAAGAGCAATCCATGAGTTTAAATAAATTGTTGAATTAAACAACAGCATTCCTCTGCACTGTTCTAGCATGTGAATTTGAAGGCAAAATTACTGAAAAAAAAGAAACCCTATATAAATAAAACTGACTAGTCTCTTTTTTGTTGTCCGAAAAGATGCGAAGGTAAGGAACAACAACAAGGAAGGAAATGACTTGAAAAGTAATAGGTTCATTTCCAAAACAAAACAGTTTAAATCTTTAAGAGGATTGCGTGACAATGTAAAAATAAAAGGAAATCCTTATTCTAACAGTTTCGCTTTAAACAACCAGCAATATTTCTCTGGTTGGATCTGAAAACATGGGACAGGCAAAGATATACATTGGACAGTTAAAAGCTGTATTATTATTGCACAACATTAAAGTAATATATTTTATTTAATCATTACACTAAAGTAATAAATATAATTGTTCAAAAACTAAATTTTTCACAGTCTTGTTAATTGCCACAGTATCAGGACTTTCTGTAATCTCCTGTAGACAGAGTTTATATGGTGTGGCCCAGATACTGACTTGACTCCCTAACTGAAATTAAACTGGTTTCAGAGTAGCAGCCGTGTTAGTCTGTATTCGCAAAAAGAAAAGGAGTACTTGTGGCACCTTAGAGACTAACCAACTTATTTGAGCATAACACAAACATTTTAATGGGTCCATTTTTAGGCTTATTAGTCACAGTGAGCTGGAAGCCTTTAAGACCTTTAAAAAAAAATTCAGTATCATCAACCCATGGACATATTTTTGAAAATTAAGTTTTACAAATAGTGCCGGGTGCTGAAGTATCGCCTGCAGGGGTAGTTGGGTTTTTTCCACTTCTTTTCCAGCAGGTGGGGATATCACAAACCCTTGGCAAGTCCCACTTCACCAGTTAGTGCTATCAACTGCTGGAGAGGTGGAAGAGATGAACCCTGATTCAAAACCGTGGCATCTCAGAACTATCACATGAGCCCATCTTGTTGTAACTGCTGATCGTTGCTACCTTTGTCATGTCTTTCTCTCTGGTCATCGTGGCCCCAAAACGTTTCCTTTAAAGGTGGTCTGGAAAAAATGTAAGGTGGATTTGAGCCCTTGTTTGTTCCCTTATTCGGTACCACAGAAATTAGGAGCATTTAAAGGGACTGAGCCTGAGGCTTAAAAACAAACAATACCGGCTCTAGCCTGCTGGCGGCTCGGCGTGCTGCCCCAAGCAGGTGCTGGAGGGGCATGAAGCCGGGTTGCAGAGAAGTCTTCAGCACAGAAGCTGGGCTGGAGGCGCTCCGGGCCCTGCCCGGCTCCCGGGGAGGCGGTTCTGCTGACGAAGCCACCCCCACGCAGGAGACTCTGGGACGAGCGAACCCGCTCACGCGCGCCCCACAACTGAGCACGAGCGGGCGATGGAGGCGAGTGTCCGAGCAGCACCGCTGCCTGTCCTGTGTCACGTGCTGCAAGGGAGCGAACCGGGCGCGGGGCTGGAGGCGGAGCTAGGATGGGGGAGCGGGGTTGGAGCAGGGGGGAGCAGAGGGGGGGCTGGGCAGGAAGGCGGGGGAGGAAGTGGACGGGAGGCGGAGCAGGGCAGGGGCACGAGGCGGGGCTGCTGGAGGAGTGGGCTGGGCTGGGCTGAGGGAAGGGGCGGGGCTAGGGGTGGAGCTGGCCGGGGGAGGAAACGGGTCTGGAAGTGGAGGGAGGCGGAGTAGGGCAGGGGCACGAGGTGGGGGTGCGGGAGGACTGAGCGGGGCGGGGCTAGGCTGAGGGAAGGGGCGGGGCGGAGCGGGAGGGCGGGGCTAGGGGCCGAGCTGGGCGGGGAGGAAGCGGACGGAGGCGGAGCAGGGCAGGGGCTCCGGGAGGAGTGAGCAGGGCGGGGCTAGGCTGAGGGAAGGGGCGGGGGGAGCGGGAAGGCGGGGCTAGGGGCGAGCTGGGGGGGAGGAAGCGGACGGAGGGGAGAGGGAGGGGCCGGGAGGAGTGAGCGGGGGGGGAGGCTGAGGGGGGGGCGGAGCGGGAAGGCGGGGCTAGGGGCGAGGGGGGGGAGGAAGGGACGGGAGGGGAGAGGGAGGGGCAGAGGCGGGGGTGCGGGAGGAGTGAGCAGGGCGGGGTAGGCGAGGGAAGGGGCGGGGGGAAGGCGGGGCTAGGGGCCGAGGGGGGGGAGGAAGCGGACGGAGGCGGAGCAGGGCAGGGGTCGGGAGGAGTGAGCAGGGCGGGGCTAGGCTGAGGGAAGGGGCGGGGCGGAGCGGGAAGGCGGGGCTAGGGGCCGAGCTGGGCGGGGAGGAAGCGGACGGGGGGCGGAGCAGGGCAGGGGCTCCGGGAGGACTGAGCGGGGCGGGGCTAGGCTGAGGGAAGGGGCGGGGCGGGGGCGGGGAAGGCGGGGCTAGGGGGCCGAGCTGGGCGGGGAGGAAGCGGACGGAGGCGGAACAGGGCAGGGGCACGAGGCGGGGGGTGCGGGAGGAGTGAGCAGGGCGGGGCTAGGCCGAGGAAAGGGGCGGAGCGGGAGGGCGGGGCTAGGGGCCGAGCTGGGCGGGGAGGAAGCGGACGGGAGGCGGAGCAGGGCAGGGGCACGAGGCGGGGGTGCGGGAGGACTGAGCGGGGCGGGGCTAGGCTGAGGGGCGGGGCGGGGCGGGAAGGCGGGGCTAGGGGCCGAGCTGGGCGGGAGGAAGCGGACGGGGGGGCGGAGCAGGGCAGGGGCTCCGGGAGGACTGAGCAGGGCGGGGCTAGGATGAGGGGCGGGGCTGGTCTGAGGGAAGGGGCGGGGCTAGGGGTGGAGCTGGGCGGGGAGGAAGCGGACGGGAGGCGGAGCAGGGCAGGGGCACGAGGCGGGGGTGCGGGAGGAGTGAGCAGGGGCGGGGTAGGCTGAGGGAAGGGGGGGGCGGAGGGAGCGGAAGGCGGGGTGGGGTGGAGCTGGGCGGGGAGGAAGCGGACGGGAGGCGGAGCAGGGCAGGGGCACGAGGCGGGGGGTGCGGGAGGAGTGAGCAGGGCGGGGCTAGGCTGAGGGAAGGGGCGGGGCGGAGCGGGAAGGCGGGGCTAGGGGCCGAGCTGGGCGGGAGGAAGCGGACGGGGGGGGAGAGGGAGGGGCTCGGGAGGATGAGCGGGGGGGGCTAGGCGGAGGGGGGGGGGGGGGGGGGGGGGGGCTAGGGGCCGAGCTGGGCGGGGAGGAAGCGGACGGGAGGCGGAGCAGGGCAGGGGCACGAGGCGGGGGTGCGGGAGGACTGAGCGGGGCGGGGCTAGGCTGAGGGAAGGGGCGGGGCGGAGCGGAGCGGGAAGGCGGGGCTAGGGGCCGAGCTGGGCGGGGAGGAAGCGGACGGGAGGCGGAGCAGGGCAGGGGCTCCGGGAGGAGTGAGCAGGGCGGGGCTAGGCTGAGGAAGGGGCGGGGCGGAGCGGGAAGGCGGGGCTAGGGGCCGAGCTGGGCGGGGAGGAAGCGGACGGAGGCGGAGCAGGGCAGGGGCACGTGGCGGGGGTGCGGGAGGAGTGAGCAGGGCGGGGCTAGGCTGAGGGAAGGGGCGGGGCGGAGCGGGAAGGCGGGGCTAGGGGCCGAGCTGGGCGGGGAGGAAGCGGACGGGAGGCGGAGCAGGGCAGGGGCACGAGGCGGGGGTGCGGGAGGACTGAGCGGGGCGGGGCTAGGCTGAGGGGCGGGGCGGGGCGGGAAGGCGGGGCTAGGGGCCGAGCTGGGCGGGGAGGAAGCGGACGGAGGCGGAGCAGGGCAGGGGCACGAGGCGGGGGTGCGCGGGAGGGCGCGAGCGTTCCGGTCGAGGCGTCTCTTGGCTGCGTCCTGGGGCTCCGCCCGGCCCGGCGGGAGCTGGGGCTAGGCGCGGGGGAGTTGCAGACTTGGTGGCTGTGGTGCTTCTCCCTCTTTCAGCAGGGTCGGCCTGGCTCTTTGCGGGTCATTGCGAGCGCACCTCCCGCCCGTTTCGCTACGGCCCCCCTGCCTCGATCGCCCCGCTGAGACTGAGCAAGAGGAGCTGTTCACCCCGCGGAGCCTGAGGCGGAGTGTCCGGGAGATAGACGCTGCCCGTGGTGACACCATCTTGGAGCTGGAGAAATCCCGGGACATGCTGGCCCTCAGCACCTCATCCACCGGGACATCAGGTGCGGGAGGAGATGGTGCAGGGGGTGGCTGAAACGGCGCTGTGTGAGGCTGAGCTGTGGGGCAGAGGAGTTGGGATGAGTTTAGGGTTAGGGGTGAGGCAGAGGGGGAGGGTTAGATTAGGGTTAGG